TGACATTGCACCTGGCCAAGTGTGCTCAGTGTCACACTCGCTGCCTTTGGGTACCTGATGGGAGGGTATAGAGAAGACAGATCCACAGGTGATCTGTGAGGTGCACAGTGAAAGCCTGAGAGACAATGAACACAAGCTGCAACAAAGGACATTGATTGCTTGTTATGAATAAATTTCTAATCATGAGGTTAGTTAAACCCTGGAACAGGTTGCCCAGAGAGACTGTGGAATCTCCATCCTTTGAGATGTTCAAAACTTGAGTAGACATGGCCTGAGCAACCTGGTCTAAGTTGGCCCTGCTTTGAGCAGGGTTTTGGACCAGATGACTTCCAGATGTCCCTTCCGACCTAAATTACTCTAGGTATAAGAAAAACAAATACAGGGATTGCCTTGGAGGAGTCAACGTGAAAAAAATGTGAGCAATCTCAAAAGTTTCTACATGGGTGCTAGGACGTTGCCTTGATGATTCCTTTGAGAATCCTTTTATTTTTGAGTAGCAGTATTTTACAATAAGAAGACAAGCATAGAGTGTTCACTACAGCCTGAAAAAATGCATTTGGCACCTTCTCCTCCATCATACTTGGATGGTAAATAGGTGCCTTTACCATTTACCACCTGGAGAGGAGTTATCACCAGCCTAGCTAACTGATGAACTGATCAAGCTAGTCACTTATCTGAAGTGTCTGCAATAATGCACACTTTTGTTTTGTTTTGTTTCTCCACATGCAGATAGTGAGAAGCTAAAGTTCCTGGGCTTTTATCTGCTGATAGATCTGGCTTCTTGCTGTTAGAGAATGTTCAGTTTTGGTGAACTTGATCTTGAAATAGGATAAAGCAGAAATAAGTCAGACCCATGGAAACACTAAGATAACCTTTACAAACTACTGACTTCAGAGGGTATATGAGTAAGAAGAAGAAAAATGTACGCAATATTGAATAGTACACAGAAGACAGCCAAGGCATGTATATTTACTCTTTTTCATAATACTAAAAGAAGACAAATTTCAGCAAAACTTAGGTGGAAGAAGGGGCAGTAGGAAGAAATCAAAGGAAGTTTTTTGATTAGCATAATGACTAAACTGAAAGTTCTTGACACAAGATAAGATAAGGGCTGGGAACTTAGGAAGATTCAAGAAACCATATGTAATTTACCTGCTCAGGTTCATGGATTATGATAGCTTATGCAGTATGTGGGGACTTAACTGTCTTCTGTGTATTCACTGTCCTCTGAACGTATGGCTCTTGATAGTGGACAAGTAGGGCTATCAGTATGGCAACTCAGAGTCCTTTACTAGGATTCCTGTCTAAAACAAGAGGTAATAAAGAAGCCTATACATTAGTTTTATGTACATTTACCCACTGGTTAGCTGTTACAGACAAAAACAAATCAACACGTTCAAGGTGACACATGGTAAATAGCAAAAGAAGGAAAATAGAAAAATAATGGGCGGGAGCTTATTCTACCATTAACAGCAGAAATAGAGTAAAACTAGTAATGAATATCTTCTAAAGCTATTTGTCCCAGACAGATCCAGAACAGTAGAGGTAACAATGTAAAGTTATGTCTGTAAAATTCTGTTATCTTAGTGTCATGGTTCAATAGCATATCAATAAACACCAGCAAGAAAGACTAATTCCACATTTTGTACGTGTGTTCAAAAAATGAATGCTATACCAAGACTCTTGGATTAAGGAAAGAAGCACATGCCACTATTTAGCAATGGTAAAATGAAGGAATTCCTCATGTTGCCTTTACAACTGTGTAAATATTTTAGAAGCCTAATTGCAAATAAGTATTTTACTGTAAGTTTCTCTTCAATTTTGTAACTCTTTATCCTACTTCCGGCTTCAGTCTTGGAAGACTAGCAAGCACATGAAATCCTAGAGACTTTAAGACCTCTTCACTTCAAATACAACAATGATCCCATTGATTTAACCATGTCTTTGAGTTGTCTGGTGAGTGTTCCACTCACTCCAACCAACAGGGTCAAAGACCCTAATTGATTGGCCTAAAAACGACAAGATGAAGCAAGCCTGTTGTTCAGTAATCATCTGGAGAGATTATTTTAAAGCTTCT